GCATGACGGACGGTGGTGAAGTGGGCCAGCGAACTGTAATTTTTTCCACCGACGGTAGCAAAATCGAAGGTAAAGGCGGAGCGACGACATCTATTTGGGATAGCGCCGCGGAGATTCTCTGCCGGAAATTAAAGCTGGGGAATTTTTGCACCGTATACAAATAAATGGCTGAATGCATTTTTTACAGATCATGGGGATTCTTACCTGAACATGTTCCATTGGAAGAAGAGCCCGTCGTGTGGGTGCGATCCGGATGTGCAGGAATCCGTGCCGCATGTCATCGTGGAATGTCCGGTGTTTGGTGCTGCGAGGGCCGGTGCTGGAATAGAGATAAGAGATAAGATTAGTAAAGGAAATTTAAGTAGGTTAATTAAGGTTAAAGGGACAAGACAGTATATTTTGGAATACTACAAAATAACGGCTCTCGCAGTAATTATAGCATATTAAAAATGAAATATAAAAGGCAATAAATACGTTTTGAATGTAAATTTACCGAATGTAAGTATATTAATAATATCATTTATAGAGACTTAGCTCTCAGCTAAAATTTACTTGCTCCTGTAGTTCTACAGGCAAAGTGCTTTTGTGGAAAACCAGTAGTGCTATTGGAGCTTTCTATGAAATTTTGAAGTTACTGATTGAAATGTTGTTCAATATAATGTGAAAGATGTTTAAATTTCAAATTCAAGTTGACAGCATCAATGTGTACAGATTACATATTCAAGAGAAAATTAAAATAGTTGAAATTTTACGAATGTGTTCGATAATTTAGCGAATAATCCACATAAGATATTACGACGCCCATTCAATGATGGTTAACATTTTAAATGAGTAATTAAATTAAACCTACACTTATATTCAATTGGTCATTTCAACGAATTTTACACAATGAATGTGGTGTATTGCTAGTGACTGCAATTTGCTTGTAATTAAATAGTAGCATATATTGCGGTCAAACGTTTTTTGTAATTCAGAAGTACGAATTAAACATTTTTGACTGTTAATAGTTTCATTGTATCAATAAAAAATAATAATGAAATAAATAAATAGTATCTTTAGATAATTTAAATTAGAAGATCTAATTTCATGCTTTGTGTATTTCTCACTTAGACATACACTTATTTATCCAGTAATAGGGTGTCTAGAAGAAATAGGATAATCAACAAACTGGGAACCAATTACTTGAGTTTAATGCAAACGAAGCCAGTGCTACTTTACAACTGCTTCTTGACGTAATAATTTTATTTCCTTAACTATTCATTGGTTTCAAAATAAATACATGGAGAGAATATCGTCTAATACACACTTAAAATTAGATAAACAAATTGTTTTGTAGAAATTCGCCTTCATGCAAGTCGTTTCTAATAAGAAAGAGATGTCGTGTTGAAGTTCTGTTTGTGTGTTTTAAAGTAATTTACAAGTATTGTTAATATGGCCGTCCGTCTATATTTTAAAGGAAATCATTTGTGGAAATATCTAACACAATAGTCTGTAAGTAGTGGTAGCATCGCAATTTTGTCGCTTGCTTACAACACTGAATTAACGACACTGTACTTATTAAAAATGAAATAAGTCTACCGAAATATCTCGATAAGTAGAGAAATACTACAAATTGATATTCTATAACATTCATTTTAAAATGTAAGAGTATTTTAAATTCAATTATTTATAACCCACTTATATCGGACTAATAAATCTCATAAAGCGAGTCTGTCTATTTCTTTGAACGCTGTAATAAGTTCAGAGCACTGTGAAGTACTGCACTTTAATATTGGAAGCTAAATCATTTTTACGAGACAGCCAAAGAATTTCATTCAGAACTCAATTTTAATACAGTTATTTTGTATTTCAAAATTAATTATTTTCCTTTATTTACTAGCTTTAGTTCGCGACTTCATATGTGCTCAAGTTGAATAAAAAATAAGAAGCCTATATGAAGCACTAATTCATTAATCACTCAAACCCTAACTTCGCTATCTTCGAAGCCTCTAAAAGGATTGTTGACAGTAAAATTAAAACATCAAACTATTATCGTAACCACCAAAAAGGAATTTAGTAAAATAGCTAACATAATTCAAAGCGTAAATGGACCTCATAGGAAGAGGGTCGCGTTAAAGTTGCACCAACTTGTTAACGTCTTTTGTCTCGATATTACGTCGTGTTGTGAAACTTCACTAATCGCGGCGAACGATTGAGTCATCTTCGGAAGTTAAGGGAGAGTCGAAAGGACTCTTTGGGACTCGCCTAACCTTGAGTGGTCCAATTTATCCACGGAATTATTGATTATCACTTTTGACGCCTTAACATGTTACTTATAATGTAGCTTTAGTATCGTAGACTGGATGATTTTCTAATTACAATTCTAAGGGCCTGTCCCACCAAAATGTAAATTGTCTGATAACAATCCAACGTGTAAAATATCTGATGGAAATATAGGATATTGTTCTCTTATCTAACAGTGACGCCATTTTTAATCTGAGTCTCTATCAGCCCGTGGTGGGACAGACCCTAAGAAAGACAAGTGTAGTAAATAATTTTAATTTTAAACGTCTATACCGTCCTGTGCTTTACAATTTCAGATAAAAGAAGCAAAGAATAGGAAGGTTTAGTCGGTCATCTACATACATATTCTATAATTCATACATCATAACTTGGGAAAATTGTCTAGGTCGTTATCTAATTCTGGAGCGCGCGAACATCGACAGCAATTTGTAGCTAGAGCCTTGGGAATTTCCTCAAGCATTCGCATAGAAAATTGTAAAATAAAAAAAATATTCTCACTTACATTAACAGCAGTTATACTGAAACTTCTTTGTGTTCTTTTACCTTAACATAAATGTGTTTAGTTCAGTAATTACGTCGTTAACACGTTTACATTTAGGCATTGTTCCAAATGTTTCACATTACCATCATTGTCAGGCTCTGAAAAACAAATATGCAAATAAAACTACGAGCACAATCGTTTATCTTGATATTCGAATTATGAAAAACATTGTATCATTGCGTTAAAAATTATTCAAATATACCTTCACGTTATTTGATAATTTTAAAAATTCTACTTTAAAGAATCAAAAGGTTAACAATGTAAATAATCTTTTTACGAAATTGAAATAGAAAATTAATAACTCTTACCATCTTTTAAGACTAAACATTTTTATCGAAGATTCCGTTATCGTTGAGTTTTAAATCATAATAATCTGTTTAACTGAATGATTGCCATGATCATCGTTTCATTTTAATGATTTTCACTTTATTCTGTTACTAGCTGTTGCTCGCGACTTCGTCCACCAGTTTTTTTGTAACTAAAAACCCACTAGTTTTGTATTTATTTCAATACATACAAAAATACAAATCATTACTTTTTATATTATTTTATCCTGTTATAGTCATATCCTGCACTCGGTGGCTAAAAAGTTATCAAATTCACAAGTTCACTAACTGCGGTGGCAATTTAAACCTCAAAGCAAACGATGCAGAATAGTTTGAGTTATTCGAATATCGGAGCTTGAGTCACGATGTCGTCTAAGATGATTGTGGCTTTGGTAACGTCTCAAATATTTGCTTTACCCATCACAAAATTCCCATACAAGGAATTTTCTTGGCAAGAATGCAAAACCTTCAAAATTATTTTACAACTATTTATCTTTGAGTACCCTCAAGGAAGGAACATGAAATGAAGAGAAAAGTTAACTTATTCTACAAACGACGTTATTTTTAAAAATAACTGTTATATATAAAACTTTTCTTTCGGCTGTTTAAAAATAATTTTGATGAAACTGGATTTACAAAATACAAGCATGTTACGTAAACCTTTTTAACATAATTTTGAATTTCCTGAACCTAAATATGAGCGCCGAAACGTTGTTAACAATTTATTAAGATCATAAATAAACACATGTGTGTTTGCTGTATCTCTAAATAATGGCGTGTTGTTCTGCCAACTGCAAAAAGTCCATTAAAACTTTACGCCGCATTTCTCGTTGCACTCGAAATTTTCGTTGCTAATCATTTAACTGTTTAGACGAGTAATCCGCTTACTTTGTCTGGCTTAAAGAACAGACAATGCATTAGTTTATTTGTTCTGATTAATTATTTATCACCTTAAATCTCAATAAATTACGGATTTGTCAATTAAAATTGTGATAGCACTTTATGCAAGTGATCGCTTATTATTTTCGAGGTTCTATTTTGTTTATAGAACATAACTGAAAATCGCCTGTTACCTAAAAGAAAACCATATCGAGAAAAATATATATGTCCTAAAAAAAAACATGGACTTAGTTTCCTGTTACCTTAAATAGATTTAACATCGTTGGACTTTGAATAACGATCAGTGACCTCTATGGTGTAAATACTTCGGCAGCTGGCAACACTCAACAACTCAAATTGACATTGACAGTTGACTTTTGTCATTTAAAATTGTCTTTGGTTTTGA